TCTAAAAATAGCGTGGTAACACTATTTAATAAGGAAATTAAATTGAATTCATTTTTAATTTTGTATGTTCGCAAAATCAGGTTATGGTGTTCAATTACTACCACCCATGGGAAAATAAATACGACAACTTTGAAGCTTTAGAAGGCGAAAATCTCCGCTCCACAGAAATTCGTATATCATATTTTATATAAGTTTTTTATTATTTACAAAATTACAAATGCCTTATTAAAAATACGATTTTGCATATTGTTTGTCAATACTCATTCTTTCTCTTCTATATTTGCAAAGTTTCAGGTTAAAAATTAACAGAAGATACCTTCAGTTTGCAGCATTATTGCAACATTTGAAATTTCGATTTTATCCTAAATTATAACGATATTTAACACACTATGTTGGTGTTTCTTCATATGTAATTTTTTATATAATTTTTATAATTAAATATTAGTTTTTTTAATAATAATATAAATAATTTTTAAATTTTTAATATAAATAAATAAAAAATCAAAATATACAGTGGCGATCAAAAGTATTGCATCACCTGAACAAATTTTTTAAAATTTTAATATCTTGTGATTCTGGGAACACAGTGCTACAATACTTCATATAAAAACGGCCGCGCGGAAGAGGGAGAAAAATAACAAGATACAGATAATTAATAAAATTTGGGGACAATAATTTTATTTTTAATTTGGGCAGAAACGAAATATTCCTATTCTTTTATATAATAATTAAAATTCGGGAACGTTTTTTCTTTTATTTGTTTTATGATAAATTTTGACACCAACAAAATATTTCTTTTATTTTCGTTCCTTTATTCCTTTATAATTTCAATAACAAAATTAATATAATAGTAATTAAATCAGTGTAACGGAATAACAATAGTGGTAAGATACGCCAAAGCAGTAATATATCGCTATTGTCCAATTCCATCAAAACTTTAATAAAATATAATAAACTTCTTTTATATTTCCTGGCAAAGTTAAATCATAAAGTCTGTTTTCGGAAGTGTCAAGTAGTTGTTAAAGATACTTTTACTTCACTTGCTCATCGTGCCTTCAGATAGAACACGCAATCATATTAGTAGTGACTGTTAAAAAAAATAAAAATAAAATAAATAAAATAAAAATAAAATAAAAAATACAATTATAAAATTATAAAAATACTTGATGTCAAATATTATTTACCTTGGATTGATCTTTTTCAAAAAGTGTAATTTCTACACATCCAACATTCCGTAACATAGTTTTCCAAGCTCTAAATTCACGTTCATTAATTTCATGCTCAGATGGATACAATTTTTTTAATTGAAATTTCAATTCAATAATTGTTGATTGTTCAGTAAGCCATTGGTTGAAAAATTCTTGCCAGTTTATATCCTACGTTTAAGATGATACATGAAAATTGATTCCATTACATCACTATTATTCCAATCGTTCAAAATACAACTGGGTACACGTAAAGAATTAATTAAATGTCGTGTTTGAGGTTCCTCTAAACCAAAAAGGAGTTTGCCATTATATTGTTGTAATATGCCAACTTTTTTCCATAAAGATTCGGGATCGCATTCAGTGAAGGAACATAATTTTATATTTGTTCATGTATTAATTGTAAGGGTGCATTCATCTTCTTCAAATTCTTGAACAAAAACACACCTTTGTTTTCTAAATGTATATATGAAAGTTGCCTTGTAACCAATATCAGCCAAATTCCATTCGGGTTTGTTAGATTTTCCTACGCTCATAATCCAAATTCGTAATTTGTCCGTGGTAATTATAACACCACAATTAATTATAATGTAAATTTTTATGGAACTCCAAATAATGAATATAAATATCCCTCCAGCGAAGAATTTGATAGGCAAAATTCAAGGCCTCTTTTATTGGAATCT